GGGGGGGGGGATCCCCAGATTTAAGGATACATTTATAGTATATATGGTAGCGGTGTCGGAAGGACAGCTAGACAGGTTTAGCTACCTGTAGTGAACAGGTGATTTCTTACTGGTTTAGAGTAAATTATATTTTCTTTAAGGTCATAATGGTCATTTTTCTGAGCATATTTGTGCTTCAGATAAAATGTTGTACTTTAAGAAAACACATATTTAGAAGCAAAAACTTGTGCGAGAACTCTTAAATATTTATTTGATATTTATTGGGAATCTGCCAAAAAGTATAGGAACATGTACTTTCAAGTTATTTTAACTAGATAATGGCCGCTTTGACCTACTTTACTCAACCAAGTACCGTAGGTAAACAGGGGGGGCGGGGTGGAGGTCAAACGCAGGGTATACATTTTTCTGGCTGGATGAATCCACCAAATTACATTCCAGGACTGTCAGAAGTCTGTACACTGTCAGTTGTTGGTTTGTGAAGTAAATGACGAGGAGGTAACTAAGAAATCTCCCCATGGAGCCAAGAAGAGGCAGTTTCAGTTGACCCATCTCATTTGTCCCGTCCCCAGCAGCAAACCATTCTTACACCCAGATTTCTTTGGTGGGACCCCAGCGTTTACGGCTCTTGTCCAGATATAAATACAAATCAGCTGGAAGACGCTCCGTTCAGGAGAGAAGCTACAGGATTCCAGAGTGATTGGTACCAGTGCTGCAGAAAGTTGACGTTTCCAGTAGTGAGTGGTGCAGCTCTATTGATCTGGTGCCAAAGAAAGATGCAGAGATTTTGTATTGAATTCAGATATTTAAATTCCATGTCTGACTTTGATCCGTGCTTCACGCCTAGAATCGATGATCTGTTAGGAAAAACATCCTGGACCTAAACACATCAGCACTCTGAACTAAAGGATATCGGCAGCTGGCCTCAGCACCAGAGGTAAGAGAACTCACAGCCTTCGAGGGTATGTACCCGTTTAGTTATATCATTGGCCTCCAGGGGGCGCCAGCCACATTTCAGTGACTGAATTGCTGAGCGATATGCAGTGTTGGGAAGGTTACTTTTAAAATGTATTCCATTACAGAATACAGAATACATGCCCCAAAATGTATTCTGTAACCTATTCCGTTACGTTAC